GAGTTAGTTAGTTAGTTTTTTTAAAAACTGATGTAATTTTGGGCTAAACTGGTTTGGGTGAGAGAAGAAACCAGTTGTCTCATCCTGGTGTTTTCTGCACGTCCTCTCTGCAGCCACCCGTTCCAGGGCCAGTACAGCGTAGCTGATGTGAAACTACGACTCTCACAGTGAGTATCGTTTCATCCTCTCGCTTGGACCTGCTGCTCTGTTGACATCCACCCGAGTGGAAACAAAAACAGAGTAAAGTGTAAATTACAAATGAGTCTGATCCATCTGGGGCGGATCTTCTTTCAGAGTCAGGACTTGAGAGGTGCTGCCCTCTAGTGGACATGAATCAACACGTCTAGGATCAAGACAATCTGGCTCTAATTTTTCATTTGCTTGAACAGAACATAAAGTTTTAGATACTTAAAACAGTGATTTAATTTGCTTGATAAGCAAACTAAATGTTTAGTAGTGAGGTTGTGGATAGTGTTGTAGAAATGTAACGTAACATGATGCTTTATTTAAAAAACAAAAATTGGAAAAAACAGTTTCTTCAACAGTAAGAAATATTAATTATATGATTATTTAAATTTTCACTAAATGTCACATATACAATGTAAAAAATGTAAATCTTTATTGAACTAACATCAAACTGAATGTAAATTTGTCCAAAAAATATCTAAACATGAATTTTATTTTTTGTTTTTGTATGAATTTGCTAAATGTTTATTCCTCTAAAGGTGAATTTGATGACTCTATCACTTCAAATTAATTTGTAGTGGAAGTTGTTTGATCCTCCTCTTTGCACCTAAAGGACTCGGAGTCGAACGAGCCGTCATTAAAAGTCTAAATTAGTTTCATAAAGTAAATTGGTGCACGTGGCATTTGGTGATGTGTCGTTGGCTTGTGATGAGCTGAGGATCCTCCGCGTCTCGTTTTAGACCGCTGCTGATTGGGTTTCCAAAGGTTGGGGGGGCGCCCGACGCCCAGCTGTGAATACTACATGAATACTGTATGCTGCAGGAGCAGCGGGCGGCCAGCTTCAGGCTGGGCTTACGGATGGATATAGCAGCTGTGCAGTCGCAGGGGGGGTGGGGGGGCTGAGGGTGTCACAACAGCCCGGCTCATTAATAATGAGGGAGTTCTGTTCTCAAGAACAGAGACGCAGACTTCTTCGGCCTCTGCTCCGCTTTCGTTCCAGGAAGTGTGGATGAAAGGCGACTCCATGCACAGCTGGAGTCCTGCTTCTAGAGTTACGCTACAGATAGATGTCCCCCCCACCCCCCACCCCCCCCCCCCGAAACAGAGCCGTGTTCCCTAATGAAAACTCACGGCAGCAACACGGGCAGATCTGCTTGACTGTGACTCTCAAAGCTCTCACTTTACCTTCAGGTGTTCGATGTCAGGGCTGCTGGGAAATTTGTCATAAAGCTTCAGTAAACAAACAAACAAACAAACAAACAAACTACACAGGGTTGTTTAATTCACTGACACTGCAAACAAGAAATAGACGGACAGAACAGAATTTTTTGCTAATTTCTGGAGTAACTTATACAAACTGTGTATACATGTATCGTGTTAAGTGATGCAAACAAATAAGGAAATAAAGTTAAAATAGGAAAACTACTTATCTCATTTGTTTTTTCAGATGTTTTATAACTGGGTAAATATGGAAATATGACCGGAACAATTGAAACTTCATTATTTTACCTATTCTGCTCCTACTTTGTAGCCGAAATTAAATAATCCAAAAATATAATTTATCCCTGAGTTCCTTCATGAGCTTCTCATCTGGATTAAAAGCGGAGTGACATGTGAGCGTCCTTCAGGGCTAAAATGAGCTGTGTGGTCCCATTAGCCTCCACTTCCTGCTGTTCTCTAATTACTCTGGGAATTTAGTGTTGTCTTTAGTGCATCCTGCTGCTGAGGAAATATTAAAGTTCATCCAAACATCCAGCAGCATTTTTTATTAAGGTCACTTATCGTTAAAGGAAGCTGTGAACGTTTCACTGTACTTATTTATTCACGTACAGTAAGTAGCCTTTAGAGGCACACAGCGTGACTTCAACACTTTTTAAATTTTATTATAGGAATAAGGTCAAATGTAAGGCCTTGTCCGCACAGAAACGCAGGTTTCCATAGCAGTCTTTTTATTTGTTGTTTCTAAAAATATACTAGTAAACACGGCACTGTTTCCAGAAAAGTCTTCAGCCACACAGTGTTTCTTTCGACTGCTCCCTTCGTCAGGGGTCACCACAGCGAGCGAACGCTCATGAAAGAGTTGGAAATTTGTTTTACAACAACCTGCAACCTCAGGATTACAAGACTGTGGCACTGACCACCAAGCTCCCAAAAGTCTTCATCCACATGAAAAACAAAACATTGTAGTGAATTTGCAGGCCTGCATGTGATGCTGTGACACTGCCATGGAAACACACCAAAAACTAGTTGTGGAGCGCACACACATTCAGTTCAGTTCAATTCAGTTTATTTCTAAAGCTCCAAGTCACAACAGAAGTCATCTCAGGGACTGAGCAGAAACATTCATATATAAAAATAATAAGTTAACACATGAGGCTTTCATGCTGAGTGCAGAATGTAAACACGAGAAGAAGAGGATGCCTTTGGTAGGATAGATTAGAGGTGGGGTTATGACATCACAGTTTTCAAAAACTTGCATTTTGACTGTCTACACCAGGGGTCTACAACCTTTACGAACAACAGAGCCATTTTTACACCTTCAGTCAGTAAATTAAATGTGTCCAGAGCTGCAACAACCTGCTAACTGTGATTATCAAGTGGTGGCCCATGGGCCACGTTAGGTTTGTTGGAGAAGACATTTGTGTCCATTGGGGTGACATTATGAAGCTAAAAAATATCTAATGATTTAAATGACATTTATTTGTATTTTTACAATTTAAGACAAATGAAAAGACTGGATGCTTGTAAACAGGGTGAAAATATCCTGATGCATGATCAATATACAGGTAGAAAAATGTAAAAAAGTTGAGTCAGGTCCTCTGG